CATATCATCAGTTGACAAATTCTAATACTTCTTCCTTAAAATCTCTTGGAATCCATTACTGCTTCCATTTCCACTGCCGCTACCCCAGTTCAGACTATCTATACCTCTTGCCTGGATTATTATGATAGCTTTCTAATTAATCTTTCAGTTTTCACCTCTCCAGTCTAGTTCATCCTTCACACCACCAATCAGTAACTTTCCTGATGCACAGTTCTGATCACTTCACTCCCCTACTTAAAAACCCTGAGTACCTGTCCAGTGACTACCAAATGAAGACCAGACACTCTGTATCCTGGCCTCCGGGGCTGTCCGCAACCTACTTTTCAAGCCTTATCTCACATTACTCCAGTTATTTAAGAGAAAGAGAATTCTTCTCTTATTCCTGATCTCATCCTGTCCTTTGCTTACATTGTCCTCTGTACTTGGCATGGACTGTTTCACCCTTCACATTCTCTGCCTACTTTAATTTTCGGGGTTGGACTTGGTTATGAGCTCATCCTTGAAGCCTTCCTGTAACTCCTAGTTGTAAGGGGACTCCCCGCCCCCAAATCTCCTGGGGCACTTTGGACCTTCCTTTGCACTTTTCGTACTCAGATTTTTATTACAATTTTTCATGAATATCTCCTCCATATTAGATTGTAAAGTCTTTGAGGGCAAGGACTATGTTTAATTTTACCTTTGTATCATTGTAGCCTACCACAAGATTTGGCATGTAGTTGTGTAGTGCATATTTGAATTGTTTTTGATGTGGCTTATAGGGTATCCAGGAGTTACTTGGTCATTCTCAAGCCCAATGTGAAAATTCCAATTATAATAAATCAAACCTGTGTAAAATTACAGAGTTCCAGGTTAAAAAAAAAAATCCTTAGAGGCCATCTAGTCTTACCTGTACCTGAATAAGGATCTCCTTACAAATCCATGGCAAGTGGTTATCCAGACCCGGCTTGCAAACCTCAAGTAAGAGAGAACATCCCTGCCTCCTGAGGGAACTCATTCCACTTACAGAGAACTCTTAAGTGTTAGGAAGGATATCCTTACATTAAGCCTGAATCTTCTCTTCTGTCACTTTCCCCCAGTGGTCCTAGTTGTACCCCCTGGGGCCAAGCAAAACAAACCTAATTCCTCTCCTTATTGTGGTCATAGCTATCCCCGAGCCTTCCTTTTCTCCTTGCTAAATTCAACAGCAACAAAAAGCATTTATTAATTACCTCCTTTGTACTAGGTACTGGGGTTATCAGACAACAATGTCTCTTCCCTCAAGGTGCTTACATTCTCCTGGAACTGACGGATATACAAAATAATATAAGATAAAATGAGGAAGGAAAGAAGACCAGCAACTTGGTGAGAAGTGGGAGAAGAATCTGCTAACTAAGGCTTCAGTCACCAAGCACTGAAATTACTTTGTGTCATTTGTGTATGGGCTGTATCCTTCCAAGAGAATTTCAGCTGGCATTGTTTATTTTTAGGGCTGGGGCTAGTTTTGCTTGTTTTTGCCTTTCTATCACCCAGGGCTTGTCATATAGGAGCACTTCATGACCTTTGTTGAATTCTTGGAGGTAGTGACTTCTGAGCTAAGTGATAAAGGAAGACAAGGATTCTGAAAGGCAGAGATAAAGTAGGTGTGCCTTTGGGCATGGAATCTTGTACAAAGGTTGGAGGCAGGAGATGATGTGTTGAATTTCATAAAGAGTCAGTAGTCTAGTTGGACTGGGATATGAGGTCTGTGAATGGGTATGATATGAGAAGAAGCTGGAAGGTGGTGGGTAGTTAAATTGTGGAGGACCTGAAAGGACAGTCTGTGACATTTATATTGAAGCCAGTGGGGAGCTCTGATTCGGTGAACCACTGAAGCCTTCTCCACAGTGAGGTTACACAGTTAGCTGTGTTCCTCTGTAAGATTGTTTTAGCAGCTTTGTGGAAGATGGGTTGGAGAGGGGAGAGTCTAGAGCTGGGGAGGCCAATTAGGAGGCCATTTTAATAGTCCAGGTGAAAGGTAATAATGGCCTGAACTAGGGGAGCAGCCATATGAACAACGAGAAGAGAGTGCATGAAAGAGATTAGTGAAAACAGACTCAAAACATGATCACTGACTGAATACAGGGTGATACATACAGCCTTTTTACCTTTGCCTCTAAAACTCTGACTTCCTTCCAACCTTAGTCCACATACCAAACCTTTCCTGATTCCCCTAGTTGTTGGTGCTCTCTTCCTCAAATTATCATGCTTGCACTTAACTGTTTACATGTTTTATCCCTTCTCTAGAAAAATGTAAGCTCTCCAGAGGAGAGAGAGTGGTTTTTTGGTTTGTTTTGCTTTATCTCTATCTCCATTGCCTCGCACTGTACCTCTGACATAGTAGACCTTAATAAAGTATTTTTGAATTGGATTAGTATTCAGAAGGGAGAAAGGAGTAACTGTAATTAGTTGAGTCGGAGATCTGAATTTGTTAGCCATAGGACTGAGAGAGTACCACTTGATCAGGGCTGCCATCTTCCAGGGTCCTGTGATGATACTGGATGGCATCATTTTCCAGGGTTTGTTCTCTGAATACTGAAGAGCAAAGGTAGAGGAGGGGAGGGGTGGAGTTTACGTGTAGGACGTCCTATGGAATGGACTGCCTCAGGAGGTGGGTGGTGGGTTCTTCCTCATTAAAAGTTTTCAGACAAATGCTAGGTGACCACTTGCTGGATATCATAGTGGGGATTCCATTCATTTATGGCTGCTCAAGGCCCCTCAGACTCTCAGATTCTGTGAATCAATCAGTCAGTAAACTTTTTTTTTTTTTTGCATACCAACTACATGCCAGGTTCTGTGCTAAGTGCTGAGTATACAGATACGAAAAAAGACAGTCTCTGCCCTCAGTGATTACAATCTAATGGGGGAAGTACACAAAAGGAAGTTGAAAAGGAGGAGGGGAGGAGAAGGTCCTATATATCTAAGCTCCTTAAGTGAAAGTTTGGAAAATGCAAAATGAGTCAACTCTCTCTTTCATGTGACAATCCTTTAAATATATGAAAGTAGCTATTGTGTGCCCCCTGAGTCTTCTTTTCTTAAGGCTAAACATCCCTCATTCTCTCAACCAAATTTGGAAAAATGACCCAACCCTCCAATCAGAGAGGCAGAGGGTAGTAATGAAGTAGAGTGTCAGGACTGATGAGATCTTAAGAGGATGATGAAGATATCCTAATAATTCCTGGGACTTCCTAGGGCCTGGTGGAAAAGTCAGAGAAGTCCTGTGAGCCTGTTCTGTTATTGATGATAATGGGTAGAATAGAAAGGCATTATCGTAGGGAATGAATAAGTTCAATTTTTGACACAGTCAACACTTGATTCTGTATGAGCAATTTAAAAAAAGCCAGCACGAATTGTGTCTGCTTCTCTTATTATTTGAGGGTTATCTGGGTCTTTGTAGAACTTTGACATAGAGTCAGTTAGATAATGGTCAAATATAGTCATACTAGATAGAGGACAAATTCTTTGATTTGTACATTATCCTGTTTGACTGTAAACTCATCAATCTGGTTGTATAGACTCCAGCTACCATACTTCTGTCTCACTTTTATGGTAAGGAAAGGTCTCAAGGAGTCCCAATTTAGGTAGAATGTGCTGAATTATCACCTCTAGCTGCCGGATGGTTCGGGTATCTTAGAATCCAGTGTGTTAGGTCTGCCATCCTTTCTTCCTTCTTTATTTTGAGATGAATAAACTTCAGCATGAGAGGTTTTCAGTGTATCCTTCGTCTCTGCTGCTGGGGTAATAAGGCTGAAGTACCAGGTGGTGAGAGATGAGTGGGCTAAGGGACATGCACTGCAGAGACAGTCTTGGAGCTGTCAACGGTTCCATTTTGAGACCTGGACACCAGGATGTGCATACTTTGCCAAATCTCCCTTGGCGAAGTTTTGGCAGGATCACTGCAATGTGAAACCTTGGAAGAGTTGATATTTTTCTGAAAGGGCTATTTCTGCCCAATTGGGAAGGCACAATTTGTAACCACATGCTTGAGAACAGATTCATTACAGAATCTGAGTTGGAACGGACCTCAGAGTCCATCCAGCCCGACGTGCGCCTGAATAAAGGGCCTCCCTTCAACGTACCCAACAAATCATTTCACTTGTTCTGAAAGTGCTCCCGTGAGGGGGTGTGTACAGATGTCCAAGGCAGATTGTTGATAGCTCTAAATTATTGAGAAGTTTCCCCTTACATTAGGTCTACATTTGTCTCTTTTCAGCCTCTGCTCTTTGCTCCTAGTTCTGCACTCTGAGGCCACACAGAACAAGTCAATTCTTTCTTCCATGTGACGGTCCTTTAAATCCACGAAGGTAGCTGTCATGTACCCCCTGAGTCTTCTTTTCTTCAGGCTGAACATCCCCCATTTTCTCAACTGACCCTTAACACATTTGAGACTCTTCACCATCCTGGTTATCTTCTTTTGGATGCCATGCAGCTATGAATGGCCTTCCCAAATTGTAGCACCTAGAACTGAATACAAAATTCCAGCTGTGTCCTGGCTTGGAGGACAGCAGAGCTGTTACCTCTTTATTCCTCTTAATGAAACCCAAGATAGTATTGGCTTTCTTGATGGCCTTGTCATGTTGTGGACTCATATTTAGCCTACATATTGACTGATTCTTTCATTTAACTGTTGGTTTTTTTCCCCCTGAAAACTAGAAAGTGATGTGTGTTTGGAAGAATTCTTAGACATTATTATAGGCCTCAAAGAAATATCTAATGCGTTAATGCCAAGGTATTGTTGATATGCTAATGTATATTATCAAAGTTTCATAATTTGGGGAAGTCACTACTAGACTATCACTAAAAACTTTATCCTCTCTTGGCTTATGATTTTCTTGGTTGCCTGTGTCTGCATAAGCCTTATGATAATCCTGTGAGTTGACTGCCCTTGGATGCAATACCTGGTTCCCACATACCTGCCTCCTGAATACCAGCCCAGATGATGTACCAAATAGGTACCCCCAAATATTGACTTTTGTGCATTGTAGGTACCTTAGCTGAGTTATATGCCTTGATGGACCAAGTTGCTAATGTGGAATATCAAATGCAGAACCAGCGGTGGCAGCACCCGTCAGACCTCACCATGAGGTAAGTAAGTGATTTGGAGGAAGAGAAAGGTGGGACTTCGCTGCAAGCAGAGAATAGTGTGTCTGTTCAGGCCTACGCATTAAGTTCATCCAAGGTATTGAAAGACAGAGGAGACAGGCGTATAGATAGTCTGGTGGTCAAAGAATAGTCTCTGTCAGATTCTGTCGTTTTGGTACTTGACTATGGCTGTGATAGTGTGGCTGGGACATCTCTCACCATGTTTCAGGATAAATTCCAGGGGCAGCTAAGTGGCACAGTAGATAGAGCACCGGCCCTGAAGTCAGGAGGACCTGAGTTCAAATCCAGCCTCAGGCCAAACACTTGACACTTATTAGCTGTGTGACCCTGGGCAAGTCACTTAACCCCAATTGCCTTTAAAAAAAAAAAAGATAAACTCCAATTAGATATGTGATTTAGATATAAGGGGGTGATAAAAACAAATTAGGGGAGCATGGACAAAATTCCTGTCAGATTTATGGGTAAGGGAAGATCAAACAAGGCAGAGGATCATGGGAAATAAAATGGATAATGGTTCAATTAAAAAGATTTTACACAGTCCAGCCAAAATTAGAAAGAAAGTAGGAAATTGGGGGAAAAAATTTTTATAGCAAATTTCTCTAATAAAGGTCTAATTTCTCAGGGAACTGAGCCAATTTCTAAGAAAAAGAATCATTCCCCAACTGACAAATGGTCAGAGAATGGAAACAGGCATTTTTCAGAAGAAATCAGAGCTCTCGATAGTCATAGGCTCTAAATCACTATTGAATAGAGAAATGCCAATTTAAATAACTCTGAGATGCCATCTCACATCCATCAGAAATTTTTTTTTAAAAAAACAGCACCACAAGTCAGGAGATGTGGGTGGTCTGGTTCCTGGGTAACATTGTAGCTAGTCACTTAACCCCCTCTTGTGTGTCTGTTGGCAGTGTTCTGTGGTAGATAGAACACTACACTGGGCATTAGGAGAGCCTGGCTTCTAGTTACCCCTGGCTCGCTTAATCCCTGGCCTTGTATTTCTTGGACTGGACCTACTGCTAGCTGTAAAATTCTGTGATTCTAAGAGAGGTAACAATGATCCAGCAAGATAAGGAGACTCATGTTTACTTTATTTTCTTAGGTGCCTACTGTGTGCTTACCATGGGCAGAAAGATTAAGGCTAAATAAAGTGGGGTTCCTGTCCTCATGTAGCCCAGTCTTGTCTGTGTCTCTTGAATGCCTACCCCAGTTTTTGCCTCTCGTACTCAGCTGCATTCTTTAAGATTCTCTCTTTTCTCATTGAATTAGGGCAATATGATAATGAAAATGTTGATAGAATTGTCTTGGCATTTCATCATAGTCAAATCTTAGAGCAAGCCTTGGATTTGGAAAAGACCTCAGAGATTGTCTAGTTCATTTCTCTTTTGCGCCATCCCAACAGTCATCCAGCTTATTCTTGGAGATCTGTAGGAATAGGAAATTTATCATACTCTATTTTAATTTTGGTTAGCTGTAATTGTTAGGAAATTCTACTAATAGCATTTATTGTGATACTTTATGATTTACAAAGCAATTGTATTACAACAATATTATGAAATAGGCAATGTAAATATTAATAACCTCATTTTCTAGATGAGGTAACTGAGTCACAAAGTTGTAGAGCGACTTTCCTAGGGTTATAAAGTGGTTTTTCTGTCATTCCTTAGATCCTAGTTTTTTCTTCTAGGGCTAAACAAGTATAATTCTTTTCTCCAATGACATCCCTTCATTAAATTTGAATAAAATTATCATTCCCCTTTCCCTTCTTCTGTGTAAATCATCTCTTCCAACTTAAATGTCGCCAGTTCTTGTGTCTGATTCTGATGATAGACTAACATAGTTCTCAGTCCCCTCACCATCCTGGTTGCTCCCTTTTAGACAGGGTCTAGATTGTCAATGTCTCTTCTTAAATCTGGTGCTCCTTGGCAAATGAAGGTGGGATGTTTACTTCTCTTCCTCTGGACACTTAAGTTGACTGAGCTTCTGGTGCATGAAAACTCCAGAGTCTTTGTCATGTAAGCTGTTGTCTGGCCATATTTACCCCAGGTTGATTTTTTTTTAAAATCCAATTTAGTATTTAGCCGTATTAAATTTCATCTTGAGGGGCAGTGTGGCATAGTGCATAGAGGCTGGCCTCAGAGTAAGGAAAATCCTTCTGCCACATCCTGGCTTTGTGACCCTAGGACAAGTCCCTTCAGTCTCATGACCCCAGGGAACTCTTTTAGATTAACTAGAAGAGCTCTTGGTAATCTGTAGTAGTTGAGGTGGCTTCTCCATCAGGAGGTCCTTACACATCTGGGCTCACAGACCCCATCCCCCAAAAGGTAATAATTGCATTTTGCTAGATGAGGCCTAGTGCTCCAGTCTGTTGAGATCTAAGCCAGAAGGGACCTTAGAGCTCATGTCATCCAGCAGACTGAGAAGCTGTGTACTGGGTGACAGTCAGTTAATGGCAAAGCTGGGACTGGAGCCCAGATCTCTTGATCTCTGTTCCTTGTTCTTTTGATGATACCAGCCTTTGTCTGACATGAAAAGATGCCCCATGAGTAATATAGAAGTAGCAATATTTGGATGGAGAAAAGGACCTTGGGAAGTTTTCAAGTTATTCAGGTATGCTTGATATAGAAAACATTTAGAATTGAGAAGTTACAGCAATCGCCTAATTTAGCTTCCTGTCTTAGAATGGGCCTAGTCTAGGCTGTGTGGTCATTCTTCTTTTCCTTTTTCCTCATTCATTAATTGAGTAGACTTGAATTTCTTGTTTTGTTTTTTCAGGTCCTCTGGGCTCCCCACTGTGCCTAGAGAAGGAGGTATCCATTCAGCTAACCAATTCTAGGTGCTTCTTGGTCCTCATTAAATTGTACAGGCACACCCTCATCATGCTTTGTGTTAATAATGATTGCTGGGCTTTTGGAGCATGAATGTAGCCACTCACCTAATATCTTTTTTTGCTGAGTTTTATTATTTTGAATGAAACTTAATTTTAAAGACTAAGCCATTTGACCTAAGCCATTTCCTGATTTATATTTGTGCTCAACACCTCCTGCCCCTGAGCTTTTAGAAATATGAACAAATGCTCCAAAGATGTTTCTTCAGCTGGAGCTGGTAGGTTTCTTTTTGATGAGCTGAATGTCATTGTGAATCTGGTATTAATGTGTATGTAAGATGGATCAGAGAAGGAGAGCTTAGATTCGGGTGGTTGTTGTGGTAGTAAAAAGGAAAAAACGGGAGAAGTCTAAGAAGGAAGAGTCGATTGGATGTAGTTGAGTAAGGAAGAGGCTGTAGTAGCAATCCTGTTGACTTGGAATGAGAGACCTGGGTTTGAATGCGAGCTGTGCTGCTTGCTAGCTTCATCTCTTTAGGTCTTAGCTCCCTAATACATAAAGTGAGAATGTTTGCACTGGATCTCTAAAGTCTATTTCAGCTTTAAAATCCTATAAGCCCAGGGTAAAGATTTTGGATGCTATTTGTCTTAAAGAATATTATACTGAGGTTAGAGTTTTACTTTTAAATAATAATTGTTCACCTTCCTTTAGTACTCCATCATGTACAAAGCACTTTGCTTACAACAGTGCTAAGGAGTAGTAGTGTAAGTATGGATTATTACTATGATTTACAGATGAAGACACAGAAACTCACATAAACTACTTGCCTGTTGTCATACATTAGCAAGTTAGAATTTAGTTTGTTAGAACACTAATTTGAGCCCAGGTCTCTTGATTCCAAGCCCAATATTTTTTCCTTGATGTTACATATAATAGCTCACATTTATATTACATTTTGAGGTTTTCTAAAACTCTTTCCATGTACCATCCCTAATTCAAGTGCTGTGGTTGTTAAGGTAAGGCTTAGCTTAAATGACTTGGCTAAGGTCACATAGCTAGTGATTAGGAACTTGAATCTAGGCTTCTGTCTCTTAAGTCAGAAATGTTCTTTCTACTCTTTTTCTTGTCACAGAAGGACAATATGGAGCCTCTTTGCTTCAATCCGGTGAATTGGCCAATCCTTAAACCTGCATTGTAATGCTCACATGATGACTTACTTTCTCTGGGAAATTCTAATTTTAACTGTTATGTCCTATGCAACCTTCAGCTGTGTCAAGACAGCGAGATCCTTTTGGAGTTAAAGGGTTGATGTGAGGAACGAAAGAGATAATTGCTGTAAATGTCCTTATGCTTTCTCTGTCTGTGTATTGGTTTTCCACTATATGTAGTAAGTAAAAAAGTAAACGCATCTGTGTGTTTCTGTAGCACCTATCACCGTAATGCCTAGGTGCTAATTAAATGGTTCTGAGGAGAGAGAAAAGAGCTATTGTATTTACTATACAAGTACGAAAAACAATAGCAAAAAATGGTGTTGGAGAGGGAAGTATTGTCTAATTGCAACGATTAAAATGTCGTTTTCAGAAATTTTCCTGAACTACTGAGGTCACTGAAATGACTGCTGGCCTTCTCTGAATACAAAGCTCTATATCAACACACAGCATTCTCACTGTTTTTCTTTTCTGTTTTCTCTTCTTGGCAGAAACTACCCTCGATTCAGACAGAAGCCCCTACAGAGGTACAGCCTGACTCAGTGGGTGGACAGGAACCTGAGAAGCCATCGTCGGTTCCAAGGCCTTGCTGATCAGTTCCAGCACAAGCACACGTCACTTGTCTCATCCCCCCACCTATGAAGGAGCTGCCCTAAACCATCCACCCCATCAGTACTCAGAGCAATTTTTGTTCCTTTCTGTTTGCTTTGGAGATATCTGAATAATTTTATTTTAATGAGACTTTTTTTTTTAAAGGTCTTGTCACCTTTTGTAAGTGCCCATTCGTAGACTTCATCTATTTTATATGAGGTCCTTTTTACTTTCTTTAGCCATAGTAAGGTGGTGTGTTATTGTGTATTTTTAAGAATTTATTTTGGATCAAAGCCAGCTGTCTCTGAAGATCTTGTATCTGACCAAAACACTCAGCCTAAAGCAGAGTGACCTCTTACCCTGCAGAGTAGAGAGCCACTTGTGTCTAGAAAAGATCTTCTTAGATCTTTTAAAGGTGGCAGTACCAGCCCACAAGGAAGGGTATATTAGCTTTAGTTACTCTGCAACTAACAGACTGGATCAGTTTTTAATTTTTGAACTCAAAATACCTATCAGTATTTTGTATGTGAGTAAACCCAGGGCATTTGAATCGAATAAAGTAAGGCAGAAGTTCTATGGAAAGGACATGATAGAGTGAATGTATGAGCTCCACACCCCTTCCCCCCTTTCTGTACTATTGTCTTACGGCTTTTCATTCCTCATTAAACAATTTCATTTTGCTTGCCAGTGTTTGCAGACTTCCTGCACCTACATCCTGTGACTAACTCTGGAATAATGCCTGATCAATATCTTTGGACCCTGGTTGCATCTCCTTTCTTAAGGAATTTTTCCTTTTTTGCCTTATGCAGTAGCTACCACCTAGGGCTTCTGCCTGGAGCATTCCCACAGCTTCCCTGTTGTCCTGTGGAAGGACTACCTTGGAACCTTGACTGTATAAAACAGAATAGAAATGCACATTGAAGGAAAGTTGTCAGTAGGTTTTTACCTTTCTCAGCTTTAAATACAAGCTGTTGTGGTGTTTACCTTGATTCCTTATCAAGTGTCAGTTACTAATCCAGGGCCTGGTGTGTCTGTCTGCCCTAGGGGGGAACTGGAGGTCCCATGCAGCAGATAGCACTTCACTGTCCACAGAGAAATCACTTTGGTGTTTACAAAAAAGTTTGAGCCTTCCCTTGTCTGTCCATTTATTGAGCATCTATTTTGTGTAAGACATAACAAAGACAAAATAAAAAAGTTCCTTCCCTGTAAGCATGTATTCATGATAATTTGGGGAAAGGGATGTGAGCATAAACAACTGGTTAAAAAAGGTTCAGCCAAACCAGCTAACACACTGACCCCATCTGATAGCATAGCAACATTCTCCTTGTGATTCTCCTTTCTCCCTAAAGGAGGCAGATACTCCACATAGATTTCCAAAATGGTTAATATGGTAAAAATCAAATCAGAAGCCTCAGGCAGTATCTGATCTTAGGGTTCAGTGTTCTAGTTGACGTAGACATGATTTGGACAAGTGTCTTAATGAATAACAAGTCTATTGTCTTTTAATAATGGCTTATCTTTATGTGGTGCCATCGAGTTTCCAAAGTGCATTATTTTATATATATCTTGCTGTCAGAATTTCATGACAACAGTGGAAGTAGGTATTGCAGGTATTCTTTCCATTTTTTGGATGAAGAAAACTGAGGCTCAGGGTTATAATAATTTGTCCTAAGGTCACACGGCAAAGCTTTCATTTTACAATTGAAGGTACTGAGACCCACAGATGTCAGTGACTTGCCTAAGGCCGTGTCCATAGTGACAAATATAGGATTGGGCTCTTTGCATTGTGCTATCCTGCCTCTTATCTGGTCCAGCCCTCTCCTTTTACAAATGAGGAAACCGAGGTTCAGAGAGACCAAGGGACTTAACCTTGCTCATGTAGTTCCCAAGTGACAGAGCCTAAAACTTTAGTCCAGATCTTCTGACTCTTGTACTGAGCCACCTTCCCCAAAGTGACATTGACAAGTTTGGTCCTTCCTAGGCTTAGAAATGTCGCCCATTGTCTGCACTGTGCTTATTGTTTCCGCAGAGGTTATACACATCTTACGTGGGTGGTGGCATTCTTGGGGTTTGTGTTTTTGCTTTTAAACCAGCCTTGGTCCTGTTTTTGGCTTTGCTTTGACCTGGTCCTGGACTTGGTGTGTGTGTATTTAATCTGTGGGGGCAGAATTCCTGTCCCAGTTTAGAAAAAAGTTACTCAGGCATACTAATCTTGTAAGCCACAGAGTAGATTTTAAGGAGCAAGCCTAGAAAGTATTTTTCCATTTTCCCAGGTAGGACTTCATTCTTTCCTTAATTAGTTCAGATTCTGTAACTTAGAAAACAAAAGGCAAGTTGGCCTACAAAATGAATCAAAATCAGTTTATTGAACTGATAGTTTGTGCATTGATTTACTTCACAGGATGGCCCTGGAAGTAGACTGATAGTGAGTGAGACATTGAATATAACTGCCTTGGGACCACAAAGAAGTTAAAATAAATACAGTTGAAAGAGCAGGCCCGGCAGCTGTTTCAGGAGTCTGTTTTCTGAACTGAGTGCACCCTGCCTCCGGAAAGGTGAAGGGGCAGTTCTTGGCTTAAGTTTAAAAGCATCCCATTCCATGCTCAGCTGTAGGGTTTTTTATGGCAGGCTGACTGTAATGGGAGATCTTGCCTTACTTAGGCAGATCAGATGAATGAGGGGATAGCCAGAGAATGTGACAGTCACATGGCTTTTCTATTTAAATAATCCTGTTTTTCCGAAGCTTTGGCACTTAACCAACTTGGATTGGAAGAGAAGACTGTTTCCTAACGATTAACATGTTATTCCATGAAGCAAAAACAATACCGAGGAAAATTCTTTAACATAGCATGTTCTATTATGAGGTTGGTGGTAGGGCATAAGTGTTCCAGATGTAGATATCTGTATTTTCAAAGTTTGGTATTTGTGTACATTTGGTGTTAACTTTTGTGAGTTAAGTTAAGGAATTATAGAAAAGAGTTGGGGAATACCTGGTATTCCAGTCCAATTATATCTCACATGAGAAAAAAAGGCTCAGATTGTGGTTTCACCAGGGTCTCATGGTCCATGGCAGTAATAATAATGATAATAATAGTGATGATAATGATAATAATAGTAATGAAAATTTACATTTAAATAGCACTTTAAAGTTTGCAGAGCACTTTACAGATATCTCATTTGATCCTCACACCAACTCTTGGAAGTAGATACTCTTAGAATCTCCATTTTACAGATGAGGAAACTGAGGCAGGCAGATTAAGTAATTAGATAGGATCACCTAACTTATAAATGTTTGAGTTAGGATTCGAACTCAGATCTTCCTGAATCCAGACCCATCCCTCTATATACTGTGCTCCTAGTTGCCTCATTCATTCAGTATGTGGTACACCTAGGCCCCCTCCGCCTCTCATCACAGAGCAGTGATTATGACATTCTACTACTTCTGTAGAAAGATTATTTTATGAGTCTGTTGTTGCTGCTTTTATTTGTATAAGAGGTAGGGAATGACTTGTATATGAGGACGTGCATGAGAGATGTCATCCAGGACATGTATGACCAGAAAAGTAGGCGTCTTGAGGGTGAAGAATTAGAGTTGGCTCGCGTACCACCTTAGCTACTCATGAAACATTCGAAGAAGCAGAGAAAGGCCTCCAACAAGTTGGGTGGACCCTAATGCTCCTTCCTCTTTGTTTGTATTCATTAATGGGAGAGAAAGGTCAGACTATAGAATCCCAGAACTGGTAGAGATGATGGGGACCTTCCGATTTAACCCTCCAGCCTAGCCAGACTGGCCTAGGAGGCATTCTCTGAATCGGACGTTCAGTCTCCCGCCTCAGACTTTACCCATGCGGTCAGTCTGCTTCTGTCTGAAGAGGCCTATGGAGGAGGAGCCGACTCCTATCTGAAGCAGTCCATTCCACTTTAGGGTAGCTCTGATTGATTAGGGAGTTCTGCTTGTATTCAGCCTGAGTAAGTTTGTGCAAGTAGTACCCATTATTCATATTTCTGTCCCTTGAGGCCAAGTAGAACAGTTCTTTTTTCATTCGAAGGCCCTTCAGATACTTTGAAGACCCTTCCCCCCAATTTTTCCAGGCTAAATAGCCCCACTTCTTTTGAACTTCATCCTGGTTGCACTGTCTCCCTCGACACTCCCAGTTTTCCTAAAATGTGGTGTCTGTCTCTGACTGCATTCCAGATGTGGTCTAACCAAGGCAGAGTGTGATGGGGCTATCCCTTTCCCAGACTTGGTCATCTTGCCTCTCAATACAGCCTATGATTGCATTAGTTTTTATAGCTGTAGTGAACTTGCAGTCCACTAAGGGAACAATCACTAAGTGCCTACTATGTCTGAAGCGCTATGCTAAGCCCTTTACAAATACTTCATTTGGTATTCACAACAAGCCTGGGTGGTAAGTGCTATAAAAAGATGCTATCCTTGTTTTATAGTTAAGGAAATTGAGGCAGAAAGAGGCCAAGTGACTTCCCTAGGGTCACCCAGGAAGTATCTGAGGCAGCATCTGAACTCTTCTTCCTGTCTTCAGGTCCAGTGCGCTATCCACTGAACCATCTAGCTGTCTTACCTCTTCCGCCCCACCCAGCTTCCAGTGAAACTGTAAGATGTTTCTCAAATGAAATGCCAACTATCTGTTGCTCCCCTTTAAAGATGAGAACAAGAGGGCATGGAGGGATTATATTCTGGAACTCCTGCACCAGTAAAAAGTAAGGCATGGAGATCACTCCACTTTAACATCCCCTCATGAAGAAGCTCTTGCCATTGGGCTTGACAAAGCAAAAAAAAAAAGTATTGACTCAGTTTTTCAGTTTAGAACCTGATTCACATTTTAGCTCGCCATCCAATGTAAGCCCCAAAGAACCCTATGACTGAAAGACTGAAATTACTTTGAAAGCTACCCATTTAAGCACATTCTTTTCTTTGATAGAAATTGAGTTAATTGCTGTCAAACATCCAAAGGCACATTCCTGGCCAGTGCTGTGTGTGGTGTGGCTAGTTAGGGCCATAGGACCTTTCATGGCACCGCACAGCATGGGTAGTCAACTGGAGGGGTCGTTGCTGAGGAGGGGGTGGCGGCTTTCTTGTAGTACATCTATCTAGAACGATGTTGCCAGGGATGTGGGAGTGGCTACTCCTGATTCTTTGAGGGTAAATTATAGTGTTGAAAAAGGCATTGCTTCATTTGGAGGAATGTTTCAGTCTGATGAGGATTTGAACCTCTGTATGGTACACATCAAGAACTTGACAGGATGGATCACGTTCCTGCTGCTGCTGTGGTTGGTTGAGGTGGGAGGAAAGGTCAGATTTCTGCCCATACCAGAATCTTGGTGTTCCTGTCTGAAATGGGGGGTGGGGTCTTGAAAGAGGAGCTCCTCATGCCGTATCACCATCAACAAGAAGGAAGCCCACATTTCAATGCATTGCTTCTTTTGGGAGATGGATGGAAGTCAGTTCGGTTAGAAAATCTTGTCCGGAAGGGAAGGGGAAGAGAACAAACATTTATTAAGGATTTTCTATGTGCTATTCACTGAGCTGGTGCTTTACAAATATGTTGTTTGATCCTGTTGTGCAGAACAATGTGCAGTAGGTACTGGAAGAGATTTAAAGTTTAGTTAAAATGTAATCCTTATCCTCATGGAGCTCACGATCTAGTAGAAGTCTTATAACACTCTCC